TAAGATATATATATATATATATATAAAACTAAAATACGACAGTTTAAAAAACAGACCTATTATAATATATTGTAATAAGTCTGTTTTTTTTACTTCTGTATTAAATTGCATTAGAATCTGCCTCTGCTTTCACCAAATATTAAATATATCTATTTCACTTTAAGTTCCAGAAGTATATATTAGACAGCAAATCTTTTTGTTTAAAGTACGTGATACATGTTACATAAATTTGATTCAATTCTTGTACAGGCTGATCAACTTTTCGACATGAGAACTGGCGAATTTAGATGTACATATTGTCGAGAGATAGTGGAAGAAGATCAGTCTGCTCTTCCAAAGAAAGATTCCAGATTATTATTAGCAAAATTTAATGAACAATTGGAGCCACTCTATATACTATTAAGGGAAGTAGAAGGGATCAAATTGGCGCCTGAAATACTGGAACCGGAACCTATTGATATCAATACTATTCGAGGGTATGTGTTTCTAAAGAAATGTTCATGTAACGATATTTATTGAAATAATTATTTTGAATAGTATCGATACAAGAAAACCAAGCAGTCTTAGAGCACCTAGTGAACAATGGTCGGGTGAAGCTACTAGAATGACAGGCTTTATAGTGGAGGATACTAGAGTGGATGTTACTATTGGAGACGAATCTCCCGATGACGCATCGAATCACAGAAAGGAGAGACCCATATGGATGAGAGAAAGTACAGTTATCAATTCCGATGGTTCACAGGTATTATTTCTGTTCTATTGCATTTTTTTCATCTTTGTAGCTTGAGATACAATTTAAGACACAATTAAAAAACACAGTCAACTGGAACATGAAATAACAAATCAAGCTAAAGAAACTGTGTTCTAGTAGGTTGAAATCTGTTATCCCTTGTTCTGGTTACTTTTTAATTGTAATTTAAGTTATATAGACCTTAATCTTTATTTTCGAATGTCTTATAGCCTGATGGCGTGAATGCGCAAGACAGCATTTTGGACAAAGCTGCAGCCACTGCCACAAACATGACTACGACGAATAATAAACAGGGTGAAGACATCATGTCAGTGTTATTGGCTCACGAAAAGAAGGGCGGAACTAATTCCGCGGCATCTATCAAAGCAGCGCTTCCACAGGAATCCAGCGACAGTAGCGATAACGAGGAGGAAGACATGCAGACAGTTGATACCGGTGAGACATAAAATTTATCAAAAGTCCAAATTGTTGCGCGACAATCAATTGTCTAAAAAAAGAATAATATAATATAAAAGACCTCGAAAATGAAAAATTATAAAAATGAAACTTGCAGAATATTCGAATTTCTAATTAATCTGTATCTTCTTAAATTTTACTATTGCCGAATCAATTTTTAGGCGAGATAGAGGCGATGGATTCCGAGGACGATGAATTAGTACCGACCGTCAGCGTCGGCGGCACAACTGTCGCGATCACCGACGTTAACGATACCTTAATTGCGGAAATGACGCCCATAGAGAAGGAGTCTTATATCCAGACGTATCAAGAATATTATTCGCATATGTACGACTAGGCGAAGAACAACGAGAGTCGTCTTCATAATGCTCTGCATAAGACTGATATTGATTTGGTATCGTTGTTCCATGTAATATTTTGTATAGCCACAAAATATATATAATTTTCGATAATGATGCGATGATCTTTCATAGTGACGTAGCAATCCTAATAGGATCGTCCTGTATGTATTTCTCTATATCGATAATGTATTCGCTGTAGTATCTGAAGGATTTGAAAAATCGATTTGAATAGAAAAAAGATAAAGATGCGTTTTTTTACAGTTTATATGTATTTTCTAATGTAATTGCAACTGAACAGTATCGTTAATCAATAGTTCTTTGTTAATAAATAAATAATTGAATGTGGAATATCATAAAATATAAGAAGTTAATTGGGACGAATAATATATATACCATGTCACTTCTGGTAAAACGGGAAATTCTTAAACTTAACTATATTAAGCTTACTTGACATTCTTTTTTTCTTGCTCATCTTGCAATGAATTTTTGTCCAATCACCACCATTGCACAGAAATTCCGAGATGATTTTTTTTATATTTAGTTATCTTTTCGCTTTTTTTTGTTTTTTCATTTTTTTTTTCTTCGGTAACAGTTTCATAATATTATATAATTAATTTTTCTTTAATAGTATTCTTTTTTACCTACATTCATTTAATACAGCTCGTTTATTTAAGAATCAAATCAAAAGAATTCAAAGAGACGAAATAAATAATTATTTTAAATATTTAAAATATCTATTTATTATTTAAAATATCTCAAGTGTATGTTTTTTAATTGTGTAATTAATTTTAGATTTAATATTCGAAAAATGAAATTTTTAATTTTAAACACGAAAGACTAATAATAATAAATAATTGACTATGAAAGAAAGCTCAGGATTCTTTTAAAATAATCGCAAGATAAAAAGCGCTAAAATCTTTCACTTTTTTCTTCTATTTCTCTGTCTCTCTCTGGTTTACTCTGGTTCATTCAAGCGCAAACGAGCAAAATCTTCAAATATGATATTATCATCATCATCGTTGGTATAGCAGGAGTTCTCGTATCGTGCCCTGTCAATGCTCTTGCTTTTCTTCAACATGGCATTTTCTCTTTCAATGACGCCTGCAGAGAAAAAGAAAATGCTTGAATAAATCTGAATTGGACATTTAAAATGTTTTATTTAAATTCTAAATTCTTTCGTCTAAAAATGGAAGTAAACTTTTTTTGTTCAATTAAGACATTTACAATAATCTATTACGATAATTACAATACATATATCAAAATTTTAAACAACATACCAGGGGCTGGATGCATCAATTTGAATGGAACATCTGTAACCAGTTCACCACCCAGAGTACCGCAATTCAACTTTACTCGGATTGAATAAGAGATTACAATACCCAAAGCTTCAATTGGACACTTGCCTTCGGCTACCAAAGTTGAGGATGCTAAATTTACGTCGTCATCCTAAACAGAATCCTCAAGATGAATTTTTCTATATTATTATTAGTATATTAATTTTTTATATATTATATTAAAACATTAATTTTT